CAGCTGGTGTCCCTTCCACCCAAGAGTGGGAGCCCAGAGGCCACTGGAGCATGTCCCTGGGGCTCCCATGGCCATGTACTCATCACCAGTACCAGGCTCACATACTGGTTTAAGAACACTAAAGCAGCTTGGACTCACCCCTGCCTACTCCACGCCCACCTCTTTTTGCAGGAAATCCAGCATCTCAGCAGGTGAAGGCTGGCCAGACAGGTCCACACCAACCCCCCAGTGCCACCTCAGAAAGGATCATCCTCCACCCCCAAGCTGCAAGGATTTCTGCCAGACCCAGGATTACCCACCCAGCAGATAAAGACCCCTGAATTATCTGGACGAAGGCTGAGTTGGCCACTCACGAAGGACTCGTGGTGTCACTAGCCGAGATCCCAGCCCAGCAGACCCTGGCCATGGGGGCACCTTGCCGGGCTCCCAGGCAGGACCACCAGCGAGCAGACTCCCACAGCTCTCCCAGTGCATCTCTCTGGGGCTGGGCACAGATGGCGAGCGAAGGCCAAGCACGGGGACGTGAGCTACCAGGCAGCCCTTTGGCTATAGATTCTGTGCTCGGAGTGGTGGTCAGCCCACTGGTCCTCATGCATCCTCGGCCCTGAACTTGCCATGTCTCCTCCTCACCCTGCCGCTCTGACCCCAAATCAGGCAAAAATTGCCATGCCAAAACCATCGCTTTAATCATGCGGGAACCACGTTATCCCCATCTCTCAGCATCTTGATTTTTCTGATTATTTTCTGCAGCACCTGCTTGACAAATCAGCTCAGAAAATACTGGTTTTAACCTTTTTTTTTTTTTCAGCTTCTGTGACAGTAACCACTAACTGCCCCGCCTGCACTGCTCCTCTCAGCTCCACAAACATCCTGATAACCTCGCAGGTGAGTCCCCCTCTGCTCCTTCCCATGAGACAGTGTGGGTCCCACGGAAAGGGGGGCTGGTCCCCCTGCACACCTCCCTGCCTGTAGGTCCAGTGGGATGGCAACGAAGTGCAAAATAAACCAAAGCCAAGAGCACTAACCTCCTGGCCATCACGGAACTGGGAGCCAGACACACGGGTTGCCTTTGGAAATCGCCTTCTGGAAACATTCCTGAATTTTGGGGGGTATTTTACATGCAATGAGGAGCTCAAGTTACAGTGGATTGGACCATATTTAGTTCCACCTGACTCCTCCAGCGAGCTCTGCCTCCAACTCATCCCCTTTTAACTTATTTGCATTGTTATCTGGTGCACAACAGAGCCAGCGCGCAGAGTTATCAGAAATGTAATCTCTGTAAAACCCTATCTGGAGTCCACTGAGATTGTTTTTCTTTTCCGAAGAAATGTGACAAAAAATTAACAGATGTTGCTCAGACCATTCAACAGGACGGGAATCAATTATGAACATTTTTGCTCCAACTGTCATCCCTTACTGCAAACGCATCTTAGGAAACCCTCTCCTGATCGAAATGAAAAAGCATTTCTTTGTAATGGAAGAATAATAAATGATAGCTATCAGCCCGCATTCTCTGACACGGCGCCGGTCCGCAGAGAATTAAACTGCCACTGTACAGTTATATAAATGTTTAATTTTTTTCATCTTTGGCCACAATAGGGTTGTCTGGAAATACATTATCACTGTGGATGCCATCCCTCTCCAATTAGCATGGCTGGCAGTGTGGAATGGGTAGGTGACCTCTGTGTTCCCCTCCTCGTGGAGTCTTACAGGGTTAACTATGGCCATTTAACAGACTCTACCGAGAATTAATACAGCGATCAGCTTCTCTCTAGAAAAAAAAAAACACACTACAAAACATTCGGCGGCGCAGATGGCAAGAACTCTCTCTCCCCCGTTTGACTCTTTTATGACAGCAAAACCAAGGCTTTTAATGATGTTTACCATGAATTGAATTAAACAGCTGAAGACCAGTTCATAATCACAGCATTTTGTTTTCATATCCTTAAGTCTTTTAGCAGTGGGGCTTCCAGTTGAGCCTCTGCTACGGCTTATCTCAAGATATAGCCAAGCGCCCCGAGGCTCCCCTGTGCCGGAGCACCAAACCGCATTCAGGCTTCTTAATTGAAAAAGACAGGATGTTTGCATAGGATGTTTGCATCCGTCAGACATTAAAAGCGACATTCATGCCCAAGTACAAATGACAGCTTGGGCTCAGCTGAACTCCTCTGACTTCTCTCCTCTAGCTAACACCAGTCTGGTTTGCGGAGCAGGGCTTCAACCCTGCACGTGGGGATGCGTAAGAGCCGAAACCTCGCCGCCTCTCTGGGGAAAAAATACAAATCCTCGCCCGCTGGCCAGAGCTAATCCCTCGCGGGATGCCCGATGAATTGCCTACATGCTCTCCTGACCCCTTGAAAAGTTGCACAAGCTCTGGGGAGGGCGAGCAGAGCACAGGGGGCAGGACACACAGTCCCTGCTCCAGAGAGGAGCTGGCAGGGACCAGCCCTGGCCATGACACCGGTAAAGTCAGCCCTAATCCCAACTCTGCCGCTCGATCGCTGTCGGGAGGATGCTCAGGGCCTTGGGTTTTCGACCTGGGAAAGAGAGGATAATCCTAACGGCTGTCTTACCTGACGGGTGTGGCGTGAAGATTAATTTCATCTACCCAGCACTCTAACGATGTACAGCATTATCCCCAGCACGTGTTAAGCATCCTTGTCCTACGCCCATTGTGGCAGCACTGGAGCCACCAGGAGGGACGTGTGGGGTCCGGGGGAGTGGCGGGCAGCCCCCCAGCGCGCACGGCAGTGGCTCACCTTGCTCGGGACCCTGGGACCCCATGGAGGGGACGCTGGTGTTCAGCACGTCATTGACAGCCGTGTCGCAGTAGAGGCCCCGCTGCACGTCGTGCTCGCTGTCTTTCACTCTCCTCATGGCCGCTGTCCTTCAGACTGTTCCCCTCCAAGTCCTTGAACGTGGAGCTGCTGGGGGAGACACAGCCGTGACTCACAGGGTGGGACAAGGCAGTCCCTGTCACCCCACAGCACTGCAGTG